CAATCCGAGGAAAGTAGAAATTTTGCCATGAATCCCCCCGAGGGGGGAGACCATTGCTTTAGCTGCAAGAGGTAATACCAATTCAGCAAGAAAAGGAGATGGTCAGAAAATGCTTGATGATAAAGATAAACTGTGGTGCACTCACTGTCAGAAATCCCGACAAACACGGGAGACATGTTGGGAATTGCATGGAAAGCCGAAGTGGGCACAAGACCTAAATAAGAAATCAGCTGAATAACAGAACAAGAAACCAAATCAGAAGAGGTTCACCTCAGCTAACTTGGCCTCTCATTAGTCGTAGAGTGAAGGAACTACTGTGAACTCTCAGGATCGCCCCCCAAGGTATGATCTCAAGGAAAATATTATCTCTGTCTTTCGTGACCATTTGGAGCAATATGGTAGGGCTCTCACACAAGCAGATTTTGGACCCACTCCTTCAACCTCTTTTGCTTCTTCCTTAGGTAACTTAGCTTATGCATTCCATGTGTCTACTGATACCTTCGAATCTCCATGGAATATTGATTCTGGCGCTTCCAACCACACGACTGGTAAGTCAACTTTTTTCCAGTCATACACCCTTCTTTCTAGCAAAGATAAAGTGAGGTTAGCTGATAGATCCTTCTCCTCCATTGCTGGTCGAGGATCTATACCTTTGCCATTCGGCTTACCTCCATCAAATGTTTTACATGTTCCAAAACTGCCTATTAATTTGCTATCTATTAGTAGCATTACACACTCTTTGACTTGCTCAGTAACCTTTTTTCCTCAATCTTGTGTCTTTTATGATTTGGCCTCCAGGAGGACGATTGGAAAAGGGAACATGGTGAATGGTCTCTTTGTGCTGGAGAATAAAGTTGGTCTTGCGGCCTTAGAGTCTTTGAATTAGTCAAATAAAAGTCATGTTACTTTGTGGCACAATCGTTTGGGTCATATGTCCTTTGAGTCTTTAAAGTACTTGTTTCCGGAATTGTTTAAGTCTGTGTCAGTTAACGATTTTCAATGTCAAGTGTGTCAGCTAAGCAAACATTGTAGAACTTCATTTCCATTACATAATAAAAGATCAAATGTTTCTTTTTCCATTGTGTATTCTGATGTTTTGGGACATGTAAATATTTCAACGAAGAATGGCTACAGATACTTCATATCTTTCATTGATGACTTCTCTCGATACACGTGGGTGTACCCTATGCACTCACGAGAAGAAGTTCCTAAACTTGTGAAAGCCTTCCAATGTATGGTATACACACAATTTCAGACAGAGATTAAAATTTTCCAATCAGACAATGCCAAAGAGTACTTTCATGGTGACCTCACTAAATTTTTTGAAACTTGTGGCTCTCTTCATCGTAGCTCTTGTGCTAGAACCCCTCAACAAAATGGGGTTGCAGAGAGAAAGAATCACCATCTTCTAGAGGTTGCTCGGGGGTTGCTGATACACATGAATGCTCCCAAAAGATTTTGGGTGGATGTTGTTATGACTGCGGCTCATCTTATCGATCAGATGTCATCTCGTCTCTTGGAATACAAGTCCCCTCATCAACTGATCTTCCCTACTGCTCCATTGTTTCCTATCCCTATGCGTGTCTCTGGGTGTAAATGTTTTGTCCATGATTTGTCTCCTACCCGCGATAAGCTAGATCCCAAAGCCACTGTTTGTGTTATCCTTGGCTACCCCCTTTCCCAAAAGGGTTATCGTTGCTTTGATCCTATTTCCAAAAAGTATTTTGTATCCATGGATGTTTCTTTCTTTGAAGATGTGTCTTTCTTCCCTGTTTCTCCTCAAGGGGAGAGTCCAAGTGAGGAGAAACAGAGACAGGTTTTGTTGCCTTCTCCTCCTGACCCTCCTCCATTTCGAGTCTTTCGTAGACAGCGGTACAAAAGTCAAGGCCGGGGTCAACAAAGTTCAATAGACACAGAACATCCTGAAGTTGTGCAACCTATGCCATCGAACTCCCAGGGGTTAAATCCATCACTGCATCCAAGTATTATTGTTCCAGTTAATGTCCCTGAACCCATTGATATTGATACTTCTAATTGTAATCTGGACCTTCCTATTGCTAAGAGGAAGGGTGTCAAATCATGCACCACACACCACCCAATGGCTCAATCCTTATCCTATGAGAATGTTTCACCCTCTTTCCGTGCTTTCCTCTATGCTATTGACAGTGTTTCCCTTCCTAAAAGTGTTGCAGAAGCTTTACTTATTCCAGAGTGGACAGATGCAATGAAGGAGGAGATCAATGACCTTCACAAAAATGGCACGTGAGAGTTGATAGATCTTCCTGAGGGAAAGGAACCTGTGGGGTGCAAATGGGTATTCTCTGTGAAACATAAGGCAGATGGCACAGTGGAGAGGTACAAGGCCCGGCTAGTTGCAAAAGGTTTTTCACAAGTGTATGGAGTTGATTATGCGGAAACCTTGGCACCGGTAGCAAAAATGAATTATATTCGAGTTCTCCTTTCTTTAGCAACAAATCTAGATTGGGAGCTTCATCAACTGGACATTAAAAATGCCTTTTTGAATGGTGACTTAAAGAAGTGTACATGACCCAACCTCCAGGTTTTTGTGCTAAGGGAAATGAGCAGAATATTTGCAGACTGAAGAAATCTCTATATGGCTTAAAACTGTCTCCAAGGGCCTGGTTCAATAGGTTTCACAAGGCAATTCAACAGATGGGCTTTAAGCAATGCCAGTCTGATCACACACTCTTTGTGAAGAGAGAACAAGGAAGAATGGCAGCTTTAATTGTGTATGTCAACGACATTATCATCACCGGTGATTGGGACTCAGAGATACAGAGATTGAAGAGATTCTTGGCTACTCGGTTTGAAGTGAAGGATTTGGGGCCTTTACGTTATTTCCTTGGAATTGAAGTTGCCTACTCAAATCAGGGTATCTTCATCAACCAAAGGAAATATATTCTAGATCTCTTGAAAGATACGGGAAAGCTTGGAACAAAACCTACTGACACTCCTATAGATGTAAACCACAGGCTTGGGGATTGCAGTGGTGAGCCCATAGCAAACACAAAGCAATATCAAAGATTGGTGGACATTCTTCTCTACCTATCTATGACAAGACCTGACATTGCGTATGCAATGGGAGTCCTTGGTTAGTTTATGCATGCTCCCAGGACCACACACTTGGAGGCAGCATACAAAGTTCTTAGATATTTGAAAAAATTCCCTGGGATAGGACTCCTATTTGAAAAACATGGGCATATGAAAGTTAAGCTTTACACTGATGCAGATTGGGCTAGTTTTGTGGATGACAAAAAATCCACTAGTGGCTATTGTGCCTTTGTTTGGAGAAAACTTGTTACTTGGAGTAAGAAACAAAGTGTGGTGGCCAAATCGAGTGCAAAAGCTGAATACAGGGTCATGTCTCATGGTGCAGCAGAACTTCTATGGATAAAGAATCTCTTGGGTGAATTGGGCCTTCTTCTCAGTGACCCTATGTCACTCTACTGTGACAATAAAGCAGCCATCAACATTGCATCCAATCCTATTCTCCATGATAGAACTAAACATATAGACGTTGACAAACACTTCATCAAGGAAAAATTGGAAAAAGAAGAAGTTTGCACTCCCTACATCAGCTTTGAGGAACAACTTGCAGACATCCTTACCAAAGGATTAAACTCCATGCGGCACTATAATCTTTGTGACAAGTTGGGGATGATTGATATCTACGCCCCAACTTGAGGGGGAGTGATGTAATCTTAGTTATGTGCCATAAGGGCACTTTTGTCTTTTCCTTATTTTTATTTCTTATGTTGTCGCCCTAACATATAAATACAAAGTCTGGCGCCACCAGCTACACCTTTTGATCTCAATCTTCTCTTCTCCTCTCTTCTCTTCTTCACTCTTGATCAAAATCAAATCATACAATTTTTCTACTTAACCTGCAACAACATGTGGTTGTAGTCTACCTGATATCTAATATATAAAAGCAAAAGGCTTATATGTGGATGCCTTTTTTTCTTTTCTTTTCTTTGACCAGAACGGTGCTTGTACGTGGATGCCTTCCCCTTTTAGGGAATGGTATCAGCGAGGTGACAGTGACACCCCTTTGCGCGTTCTACAAAGGGTATTTTTGTCCTTTCACATCCTACTCCCTCTCTCAATATCTTTCTCTTTCCCCCTTCACTCAAACCCATCTGTGTCCTCCTCCTCCTCTCTCTCTCTCCCTCAACATCCTCTTCTCTCTCCCTTCGCCCTCTTAACCCTAGCTCCTTCTCTCCCCTCTCCCCCCCCTACTCCCCTCACCAGCCCCTGCAACAAAAAAGCCCCACCGGCCAGTACATTTGAAACCAAATAACGAATCCAAAACACATTTTTCTACTCAGATACTATTCTTTTCCCTTTGACCAATGAGCAGGTTGAACTAATGAAAAAAGAAATTGACCTAGTCACAGCAATCTAATTCCAACAAGTTTGGCTAGACTTATGAGAAATGCAAATCTGCAACAAGAAATAATACTTCATGTTAATTCAGTTTTTGAATTTCATTTTGTGGGTTGATATAAATACCAAAGCCACTCCCAAGTGATCCATATGGCATTTCAAAGAAGACGATGCATGAAACTCAGTTCACTTGAAGACCATAATTCGCTGTTTTATCAAAATATTGAGGCTCAAATTTTTCTCTTCTCAGCTTATCTGAAGTACCTTAGCCCAACTATATCCATCACTATGACTAAGAAGACTCTTAAATGTAGAGGTTTAAATGGCAACGGAACTAAAGATGAACTACTTTAGAAAGCGTTGCAGTTATTAATCAAACCGAAAAACAGTAGATCCTAATCCGCATTGAACAAGCAGTCACAATTAAAGTAGCGTACCATAAATAATGATCAATACTACCAAATAATAATTCAGTTTAAGCCAAATTTAACAGAAAATGATCAAATGTCCATATTTCTGTTCGCTTGTGGTGGTAGTAAAAGACAGGTTTTGAATCCAAGAAGGACCACGTTTATGAAATTCAATGAGCTTACCCGACATCGTCACGATAGAGACGATTGATGAGAACATCACCCCGAAGATTCAGAAAATATATAGCAGAAGCAGCCACCGGCATGTTCGATCCAGCGGATCGAGAACCGAAAACTCCAAAAATTGAGATGCTCAGCGAAGAATCTCCGGAGAACGAAACGAAGAGATCAGATAACCATCCACGTAAGGAATTCAGATGAACAAAGACGAGGTAGGTGAGGTATCAGATCTAGGGTTTTTGAGTGCACGGAATTGCTGAAATCGTCGTGCTAGAAGCTAAAAGAGATTCCTTCCGGTGGAGGGGGGTCGGATGGTCTGATTCAACTGAAATGAATGCCTCTACAAAAGAAAATCGAAGTCCTCTCTCTCGCGCGCGCGCGCGCGCACGCGTACTGAATAACAGCTTAACAGGAGGTTTCCGGCACGTGCGTTCCAAGCCAAGCTGTTATGTTCGCTGGAGCTGGAAGAGAATTCCCAATTCCGTCCCGTGCGCGCCGCACAGCGTATTCGCGAGTCCAACCGTGCGCCGAGACAAGTACTGGACATGTTCGTAATGCACACACTCCACCAAATGTGTTTTTTGGGCATACAAAAGACTTTACCTTTACAAGCAAAGTAAAAAGATTGGCCATTGGATTTAACTGTCTATTTACATGAATTGAAAACTAAACAGTGCATCTGTTTTACCCATTAACTTGGTCTGGTATGAATTGTGAAGAGATTAACAAGTTTTGACAATTAGAATATATTATTATATCAACTATGGGTGTCAATGGATCGGTTTTGGATTGGACCCTGTCTAGTTCAAAATCAATTTGGATGGATTAGATGGACTAAGAAGACATATTGGATTGGATCAATCCGGTCCAAAATATTTATTAGATTAGACTGGACCTGATCCGTCAATAATAAATTTATATTGGATTGGGTTGGATTAAGCCAGTATCTGGTCCATTGTATAAGATAAGAATACAGGTATCAATGGACCGGGTTTGGGTTGAAACCAATCTAAATTAAAACGAATTTGAGCAGAGTAAACGGTCTGAACATTGAATTAGATCTGACCAAAATGGTCCAAAATATTCATTGGATTGTATTGGACCTGGTTCATAATGAACTCATATTGGACTGGATCGGATTGGACCAAATCCTATTCAATTGACACCCCTAATATCAATTATATTGGCTGTTGAAGCTGCTTTTAAACCACTAACTAAGGCATCAACCTTTGCATCATAACTTTCTATGGCCCAACAACTTCTTCCTTCAACTATTGTGAACTTTTTATTAGTGTCTTGAATAATGAAAGTCTGTCCTGCAATGCCCGTGTTTGGATCAAATGAACCATCTATGTGGAGAGAAGCACAATCCCCTACACCTATCGTGTTAATGAGCTGCGTTTGCATACCACTTGCCAATAGATTGTTGTCACTGGAGAGGTAGTATTTAACTTTGCTTATTATATTAGAAGGCATTATCTCAACTCCTTCAAATATTTTCTTGTGCCACTAAAATCGACGAACCATATAATCAGCATGCCATGCAGGTATCATGATTCATGTGTATTTCAACTTTAAGAAAAAGAAAGCAACATAATCCCACAAATTAACATTGAGGAAAACGCTCTTAAACACTAATACTAGGCCTATCAATTCTAAAAAACAAATAAATAATCAACTTCAAACTAAAGATATCAATTATCAACTATATAACTTAATAGAAATTATAAAAATAAAACAACCATTGAAATTTCAGATCCAAGTAAATCATGATTCTTTTTTTTCTTACATAAATGTATGATTTTTTAGTTGGCATGAACTACATTCCTTGATAAGTAAGCCCTAATTGGTTAACGAGTGGTCGGCCCCACTTCATATTCCCTAAATAAGCATGCCCTAGTTGGTTAATGAGGTTGTCTATTCCAATCTTTCTTGGTAGATGGAAATGAAGCCACAACTAGTTGCGGCATTCCAATGCTCCCAAGGCATATCATATTTGATCTAACCATGCACACAGTACTGCATCATTTTGGAGTCTTTGAGAGTGGTCGATTATCTTGCTTGCCCCACTTCCAATAAAAATTTTTTTCTTATACATTATTTTGAGACAATGAGGCTTCCCCTTTTGATAAAAAACTCATGAAAGAGAAACAATTAATGATTTTCTAGTCTTTGAGATTGGAAACAATTTTAATGATTTTTTAGCTATACTTAAGGAAATCTTGAGTATATAAACACAAGCAAGCTGAGAGTGTAAAAGGTTACAAGTAGAAACTCATGGAAAGAGAAAGCTACCCTCCCATTGCAATTTTGCTCATCTGCTCCATAGTGCCATATAGATATTTGATTATACTAGAGGTTTTGAATGAAATATATTGCTAATCTCCTACAATAGTACAATAATATGCAACTAAGCTTAGTGGGGTTTACCTAAAGAGGAAACATTTATTAGATTAATGGTGGATCAAGTTAAAGAAAAGAACAAGCCCAAGCCCACATCCACCTTCAATAATGAAGGGTGGAAATACATATGAGAGAAATTTAACCAAATAATACATGATAAATTATATACATATCCAGTAAGAACAATTTTCATGCACTAAGGCAGCGTGGGAATCGTTATTTAATGTTCATTAATAACGCTGGGGTGATAATTGATCCATTGACAAAGAATATCATTGCCAATGATGATGTTTGGTAGTTTCTTTGCAAAATAAGTTTGCCAATACATTCTTTTTAGTTTTTGAATTAGATAGTAGCCTTAGTTACTATGTTTTGTATGTAGACTTGGCAATGGGCACACAAATTTAGAACAAAGGTTTTCTACCATTAGGATGAATTGGAATTTATTTTTGGAGAAACACAACCAACTAGGGATAGGGGATTCTCACTTGAAATTAGTCTTGAGGAGCCTAGCTAGCAAACAAACAACCCGTTGTCAGTTTTTTTCATAAATGATCAAGGCACACCAGCCTCTAGGGAATTCCTTTCTAGTCCCAACCTTATTGACTCCAATGAAGATTCACTGATACAGAGTCCAAAACATAGGAAGAGAGTTGGCAATGGCAATTCCCCCCCCACACACACTGGCATGAAGAAAGGAAATAAGCAATGCCTTCCTCAACTCTAATTCTTGAACTTATGATTAGTTCATGGCATGAGACCAATAAACACAAGATGGAGTTCTTGGAAAAAGAAAGTGAACGATACCAAGCAAAGGGAAGGGATATGGAAAGAGAGAAGGAGAGTGCTATTGAGCATGAAAGAGAAATATAAAATTGAGAGGGAAAATGTGAGAAAATGGAAAAAGAAAAAGACAAGGAAAGGGAAAGGGAAAGGGAAAGGGAAAGGGAAAGGGAACGAGAAAAAAAAAAGAGAGAAGGCCATGGAAAGGGAGCGAACATAGGAGCAATTGGAGACTTGTATTGGAATCCTTAACAACATATTTTCACTCGAATCTATGTCTCCTACATGTTACATCCAGGCTACCCATCTATTCCAAGATGAGGCATGGAGCGTTACATTCCTTGCAATTCCTCTAGAGCTCAAGATATATTGACTTCATGGATTGGGTGACAGATAGAATAAGCCAGATTTACAGAAGGCTGAATCCATCTTATATGATCATGCTTAGGCATTTGGCTTTAAAGACTATTTACTTACAATAGCTTATTATCTTTTTGTTAATTTTATACACACTTAGACAATGAATTTTGTTTGTCCTTTGTTATTCTTGTTTATTTTTTTGGTGTTGATGATCCTACACCTTACTTGGTTGAGTATGATTTTCATAACCATCTGTTATGTGTATGATGTTGTATAATCTAGTATGCTTATATACTATTAGTTAGTGATCATGTCTTTGTTATTGATATTTGTTTTATGTTGTTTGCTTATACATCTAACATAAATAGATATTGATATAATAATCTGTTTTTTTTTTCACCAACAAATCTAATGGTTCATCGTCGATTTTGTCGAGGTAGAATACATACACTACTAAAAAATTCATCTATAGAAACGGTCATAATTGTCACTAAAAGCATGAAAAGTGCCTCTAAAACAAATAGGAAGTGGCTAGGTGAGTGCCTCTAAAAGCCCTGATGCTATATGTTTTATAGGCACTTAGTTGAGAATTAGAGGTAGATTGTAATTGGACTTTTAGAGGCACATACAACTGTCTCTATTGCACTAACACTAAAAGTGCTATATAGAGACAATTAGAAGTGCCTTGAAAGGTCCAATTTAGAGGAGCATTTAAATGCCTTTAATTATTTTTTAGGTGATTTTATATGCCTCTAAAAGAAATCTAAGAAAAAGAATAATCTCAATCAAAATATTTTAGCGACATTTTGGACTGCCTCTAAAGGTATGTGTTTCACTTTTTATGGGCACTTTTGGTTGCTTCTAAAGTGGTTTAAGATTTTTTTTTAAAGTGTTTCCATTAAACATTTTATAGCATGTATACAATATTGAGATAAAATCTGTATAAAATATATCTATACCACTTCATTCAAAAAGATACACTTATAAATATTGTTCCATGATGATCAAATTAAACAATAAAAAAGTACTCCAATTGACTTCCATCATCTTTTTAAGAGTAAAAAAAAAAAAAAAACCATTCATGTTGATAAACACCCCTTAAGATAGTCACTTGGATAGATGTGGTAGTGACATAAGTCCCAAGTCGTACCTGAAATAAACACCATATGATTAACAAATTAAGAAAATATGGATTGGATACAAATACTTATCTCATAAAACCATGCTAATTTCTTTCTCTTTACTTAAAAAATAGAGGTCTTAACTCACACCATAATTTGGGCTCACTAAACTATTTGATTTAAAAGTTGAAACTTTAATTTATTAGAAAATTTTCAAATAAAACAAAGGAAAACAAAGACAAGCATTTTTAATAGTATATTGCAAAAAAACTCCCATGTCAACTATTTTGAGTAGGGAGGGGGGAGGGGGGAGGGTAGATGCTTGATCACCTTGAAGAAAGAACCATCATTTACAACAAATACCTCATATTTGAAAGTAATGGTATCTCTTTGTTCTGTAAATCGTTCTCTTCGACAACGGTTGTTAAGATAGTCGAGTATTTCCAATCATTCTATCCTTACTTTACTATAAATGTACAGGTAATTTGCATAATTACAAATGGATAAATAGAACCATGTTGAAACCATCCACTACAAAAAGTAGATACAACATACAAGAAATAATTTTTCCAAATAAATTTAAAAAGTTGCTACTGGTGGTTTTATTCAGATTGTTATAATTGTGACCCCCAAAAACCTCTTGTTGCCAAACCCTAGACAAATCGCAAATACAAGGCTATATTTGGTTTGATAGAAAATAAGAGAAACAAAAAGAAAGTGTATTAATTGGAAATA